CTCTCTCTCTCTCTCTCTCTCTCTCTCTCTCTCTCTCTCTCTCTCTCTCTCTTTCTTTCTTTCTTTCTTCTTTCTCTAGATGCCTGGCCTCCAAGAGTGAAGTGCAGGTATCTCATGAAGTCCATGTACAGAGTTAGACACAGCCTTTGCCCACTGAGTGGCCACAAGACAGGTGACAGTTTCCCTCATAGGCAAGCTCCTGCTGATAGGAAGCACCTTTCTCCAAGGTGACAGTCTCAACTTTAGCATGTATAAAAGCCATCTGTGGTCTTTGTTAAAAATGCAGCTCTGATTAGCACTTCCAGGACTTGGATTTACTTGGTTGGTCAGAGCCTGTTCTCTGTCGTCAACCCACATGGCTACAGAACTTTCTTCTGTGAAACCTGCCTGCCTCTCATGACTGAATCAATCCACTAACACGAAACCCGGTGGGGAAATGAAAAGAATATTCAGAAAAGAATATATGTGTGCATATCTTAAATTGGACTAGGAATTTCTACAAATGACTATAATGGTGGATATTTCAGGGTCAATGTACCCTCCAAAGAAAGAGTCCCTGTGGGCAGACCCCTGTCCATGGGAGCATGGATTTTGTGTTAGGGAAGCTAAGAAGCCATGGCTTCAAAGTAGCTGGGGTTTTGGTTTTGGTTTTCTAATGAAATGTGCTGTTTGAAATTTTCAAAGGGTAAAAGAAGAACAACTTAAGAATGCAATTGTGACTGTATCAGACCCGTTAAAACTGAAATTCAATAGAAGTAGTCAGAAAATACAGGAAACCACCCACATCCCGATTTTTATGTTAATACTACTCAGGCTTTCTTCACTCGACACTTCACTTCCTGTGTTTGTCTTTTCTGCACAATGACCTCCATGTGTGTCTACAACGTCATTATTTATATGAGACATCCTCCAAGCCACAGGAGGCAGCTAACAAATGTCAACATGGAGACAGGACTATGAGGAGAACCCGTGGCAGGATGAGGCAGGTGACTATCTGAGTCTACTAGTCATTCTACAGAAGTGGCTCTGCAACCTTGGACAGTCATGTCTTGAGCTACCTTCCTCTTTTTGTGATGATGTCTCTTACACAGTCTGTTACAGTGCAAAAATTTTAAAAAGTCGTCAAAATCTGAACTCCAAGTACTGAATTTAACCAGCACTGGATTTGGGAGCTCAAGAGGTCACATTTTTAAAATTTGTTTGTTTGTTTTGTTTAGTTTTTCGAGACAGGGTTTCTCTCTATAGCTTTGGAGGCTGTTTTGGAACTCACTCAGTAGACCAAGCTGGCCTTGAACTCAGAGAGTCACCTGTTGTCTCTGCCTCCCCAGGGCTGGGATTTAGGCATGTATCACCACCGCCAGGCAAGAGGTCACTTTTTAAAAAGTAGCTGCCTTATATTGTTCTTTTCTTCTTTCTTTCTTTCTTTCTTTCTTTCTTTCTTTCTTCCTTCCTTCCTTCCTTCCTTCCTTCCTTCCTTCCTTCCTTCCTTCAGGTTGTCATTTCTGGGTCCCACCCATCAGTATTCAGCCAAAATGCTTAGTCACCCCAGGTGTTAGTATTTCTAGGGTTGGCTGCACATGCACAACCAGCACTCAGGCAAAAGGCCAGCATCTCAGGGCCTCATGCACATGCACAGTGTGGCCATGAAATCATGAGTATGTGTGGCATGGCTACGTAAGTCCCCATATGCATGCCTAAGTGACCTTTAAAAGCAGACATGCCTAGCCCGGCGTTGGTGGTGCACGCCTTTAGTCCCAGCACTCGGGAGGCAGAGGCAGGCAGATCTGTGAGTTTGAGACCAACCTGGTCTACAAGAGCTATTTCCAGGACAGCCTCCAAAGCCACAGAGAAACCCTGTCTTGAAAAACAAAAACAAACAAACAAACAAAAAAAAGCAAACATGCCCAACCCACCTCCTCTCTTGCCACATTTCTTCCAGACAGGTCTGCATGCACCCCCTCTTCCTACTGTTTACTAATAAAACTCTTAAAGTGGGTTTTGTTGTATTTCTTGTGGTGTGTTGTTGAGCATGGTAAATAACCTTCCCTCCCTCCTTCCTTCCTGTTAGCATTCAGGCATTTATACTGGCCTGCTCTCAGGGACCTAACAGAACATACCACATCACATCATCAGTAGCAGCCAAGACTTGACACTGTAGCTACGCTACCACAGCCACCAAGTAGCACATGCACTATACCTCATTATAAAAGGCAAGCCCTTCCCGCCCCTCTCTCTCTTGCCTTCTGCTCCCACTCAGAAGCTGCCTCTGCACCTCTCCCAAATAAACCTCCCACATGAGCTCTGTTGCATGTGTGACTTTGTAGTTCCCCTTGGCTCCCACCCCCCCAAGGTCACCTTCCTGAATCTGATAAATGATGACCCTTCCTTCCTTCCTTCCTTCCTTCCTTCCTTCCTTCCTTCCTTTTTTTTTTTTTTTTTAAGCATATTCTAGGTTGGTTATTGTGAAGGCATTCACCTGTAATCCCAGCTCTTTGAGGTCTGAGGCAGAAGAATCTGGAGTTTGAGGCTAGCCCCCACTGCCTCCACCCTACCCCCCAAAAAAACCCAATTAAAACCCAACCCTCGGCTGAGCGTTGGTGGCACACGCCTTTAATCCCAGCACTCAGGAGGCAGAGGCAGGCAGATCTCTGTGAGTTCGAGGCCAGTCTGGTCTCCATAGTGCCGGGATAGGCTCCAAAGCTACACAGAGAAACCCTGTCTCGAAAAACCAAAAACCAAAAACAACAACAAAAACTAAAACCCAACCCTCATAGGTTTGTACAAGAGAGTTGTATCTCCAAAATATAAGCTTTAGTAATAGCTAATGTTACTCTAGACAAGTTATAAAGATATTTGGGTAAACAGCATTTGGACCTAATGAAACAAGAATAAAATAATATATGGCAAATATATAATATACCATGTAGACATTAATTTCAAAAATTGGCACTACTCATTACCAGTGAGTAAAAGACACAGCTCGAAGATGGTATATAAGCAGAATATTGATATTGTAAACCATAGGCATTCACTATTTTGACATACCATGTCAAGAAATCATGTACTCATGTGTGGAAAGCAGGCATGAGATTTTCCTTGCTTCAAGGGAACATTTCAGTCTCTGGTAAATTTACTTCCATACTGGGGCCAGAAAGACTGGGCTTACGATAAAGGTAGAAGAGCAGACAGAAGGGCAAACTAAATGTCTGTCCTTGGCATAAAGGAGTAAGATGCCCCTCTCTGAGTCACCCACCAAAATTTGTGGAGCTTAGAGTCAGTCCCAAGGGAGAGTCAATTGACCTAATGGGAAATGACAGGTCAGCAGAAGAAATCCACTGCTGAATGTCACTGGGTTTGGTCACTCTGGAGCTGTGAGACCTGAGACCAGGGATATGCAAGGAATGTGTCTGGAGTCAAGGTCGTGGTGATGCCGAAGAGACAAGGAGGAACAACCTTTGAGAGAGGAGTCTAAGCAGTGGACAAGTGATTTTCTCTGTTATATGAAGCCACCCTTTGTAAGAAGCCAGACAACACAGTAGAGCGGTGAGCATGGCTGTTTCTTATAAGGTGTTAAAATCAAGAACTAAACTATTTTTATGAATTAACTGCTTCGTGCATTTTTCGTGAACTTTTCCCATGTATGGGGTTCTGGATGAGACTTGTCATGGACAGTTCATAGAGGCTGCAGAATGCAGGGGAATACCTGTGTTACTGAATAACCTTCAAAATGCAAAGACAGCCAAAGTGCTGTGCAGGAATCAAGCAGGTTCCCAATGGGGCAGGGAGTACTTCTCTTCCAGCCACTAAATGAAGCTGCCTGCCCTTCTGTCTCACCTCGTGCCGATTAATCTGAGCCTGTAGCTCCTGGATGTTACTGGTGGCCACAGGTTTGTCCTCGATCTCCCTGTGAGCCCCTTCTATGAGCTGCTGGAGATGCTTCATCTCCTGTTCATACTGTTCATACTGCACCACAGCCTCCTTTAAAAGAGAAAATGAGAATATGTTGTTCTATAAAGTTACTGGGTTGGCTTTGCCACTAACGTTACCTTCTGTCTTCCAGTGCCCAGGAATCAAAGAGATGGGTAAAGTCTTTTAGATGGCACAGATTGTCAACTTTCACTTACATACATCAAACTTATCTTTAAAAAAATATTATAATAGAATTATCAATGCAATCAAAACAGATGAGAAGTTAGGAGCCTCTCTGTTCTGCCTACTCAGATTGTCCAGAAGATGAAACACAGAGTGCAGGCAACACAATAGGCTTCCTTTTTGACTAATGAGCTGGGGAAACGGCTCAGACTGCCATGCAAGCATAAGGATCTGAGTTCAAATCCCCAGTATTAAAACAGAATGCCACATTTGTAACCCCCACACTAAGGGGTGAGGGGTCAGGGACAGGAGGCTCCCTGGAGCTCAATGGTGAGTCAGCTTAAGCAAATCTACTAGCTCCAGGTTCAACTGAAGACTGTCTCAAAAAATAAAGTAGAGGGCAATCAAGAAAGACAGTGTTGGCCTCAAGCCTTCACATACATGGACATGGACATAACCCCCCCCCCACACACACACACTCACAATCATGTACATATACCACACATAAAAATGCAAAGCAAAATTTAAAACAATGTTGAATAACAAGTCACCAGCCAAGAGCTCCTGTAGCAGTTAATATTGATCAAGCATGACCTGTAGCCTCAGGGCTCTGATGTAACAAATTACAAGGTAATGAATGATCAAAGATGGTTGGTCAGATGAACACTGTGGTTTTAATGATATATAATTATTCGCAAGGCAGGTGAGTACTACTTAAAAGGAGAGATTATAGTAGGCGGCATTATTTCTTCACGGAAATGCTTTTTTTCTCTTATTACCACACGAGATTAAGAGCTATGCTTGGATATCCTTTGTAGGCCCGAAAATGCACAAATTGGCTGAAACGTGATAATAATTGCATAATATAGCACAGCAAGCCCATATCACCAAACCTAGGTTCTTCTCAGATGCATATACGACCACATACAAAATCAATGTACATGAGTCATTCTTCATTAAAAAAAAAATCACCAAGAGATAATTTTCACTAGAAGATAATTTTTAGAGAGCTTTCCTCGGGCTTTTGTGGGTGATCTACATGATGGTCTTAATCTCCTGATTTTATGTAACCACAACAGACTGTCAAAGTTAGCACTCTGGGTGTTTGGACGGCTGAGCCCACACAATGCTAAGAAAAGCAGCCCATGACTCATGTGCACTCGCTCTGCCTGCCGGCATGGCCTGGCTGGCTGAGCTGGTAGCACAGCTGCACCTGCCTGCATGATGTTGTACTGCTGGATGGCGGTGTGCTGCAGCTGACTGGCTTCCTCCTGCAGCCGCAGGGCGGCGTGGCACAGGGGCAGGCTGGCGACCACGTTCTCGGGGATCCGGAGAGCACTCTGGCAGAGCTGCACAGCTTGCACCTTCGGCTTCAGTGACTCCATCTCAGACAGGAGATGCTGAAAGGGGTGATATCAGGGTCTAAGCTTTCCATAATTTCATCATACATGGCATAAACAAAGACATTTCCTGAATTGTAGCTGCAGGGCCAACACAGTTTGCAAGGAAGATATGCTTTACACAATGCATAGAAAACATTTTTCTTATTATCCTACTTTTAAAATATAGATCCTCCATCCCATTTATCTTAAATTATCATTGCATGTGTGTGTGTGTGTATCTAGTATGAATGTATTCATATGTGCAGGAGTAAATGAAATGCACATTTATATTTGAGTTTCTATTAGCAGGTCCATAGTGCATGTGTAAGGAGGTCAGAGACAACAAACTCAGGTATCATTATTCGATAGCTGGTTATATTTTTAAATGTTAAGACATGATATCTCACTGGCTGAGGGCTTACAGAGTACGGTAGGCTGAGTGGCAAATAAACCCCAGGAACCCCCGCCAGTTTCTTTTTCTCCTGCACTGTGATTTTAAGCACAGGACTCCCCACCCCCTGTCTTGTTTTAATGTTTTTCTGACACAAGATCTCACTCTGTAGCTCTTGCTGGCCTGGAACTCATGTAGACCAAGCTGGCTTTATCTATCTGTCTTCCTCTCCCTCCCAAGTGCTGGGGTCTATTTAAGATGGCTTTTTGTTTGTTTGTTTTTCAAGACAGGGTTTCTCTGTATAGCTTTGCTATCCTGGCACTCGCTCTGGAGACCAGGCTGGTCTCAAACTCACAGAGATCTGCCTGCCTCTGCCTCCCGAGTGCTGGGATTTTAAGGTTTTTAACAAGAGTTCTGGGGATCTCATCCTGTGATTGCCAAGCAGGAATTCTGATGACTGACCCATTCCCCCAGTCCATCCTAAATGCTTTTTGCTTACCTGTCGATGGGACAGCTGTTCCTTGAGACTAAGGCGCCCCACTTCTGGGGAAGTCAGAATTGTCTGGACTTGTTCCAAAGCCGCCCGTAAATTTCTCAGCTCTCCTTCAAACTTTTTCATATCCTGGAGAACAAACCCCACTTGAACATCAATACATTGACTTGAAGTTCAAAGTCATAGCTGCAGAGCAGCATCATACTCAAGAAACTACCTCCTCATGGGTGAACACTTTCTCCCCCTGACAACATGCCAGTTTGGTTTTTTTTACCTTGGCTGCATCTCCGAGGCTCTGCAAATGAACTCTGATCATCTGCTTTAACTCTTCGGTCTCCCGTCCTAACTGTGCCGCTTGCTTCGACATTTTTTCTGTGAAGTACACGTTGGCAAGGTATTGCACTTTTTCAGCCATTGCTTCCAGGTCACTGTCAATTTCTTCTGATTCTTCCAGCAGCGTCTAAGAATGAAGAGTTGATATTTGTGAAACTGATATATGGGCAGGGGATACAGATGTGTAGAGTGCAGTTTAAAGACCTCCAGACTGGATAAGGGTCAAGGAGAACCAAGCTGCAATCAGCACTTGCCCTTCACACTGTGAGGGTTCTTATGAGCATGGTACAAAGTAGAACAAGCTCTAATAGGTCTTAATAATAAAAACCCAGAGTCAGATATAGGGGTAAATGCAGAAAGGTCAGAGAGAAGTAAAGGAGCAGCCACTACAGAGACCTCTTACCTCTACTGAATCCTCAGACCAAAGGGTGATCCTGTCCCTACGAATTCTCAGACTGAATGGAATGAGCTCCTGTCTCCTCCCTAACTTATATTCTTTTCTCTGCCCAACCATATCACTCCTATTTCCACCTCTCTAGTGTTGGGACTAAAGTCATGTGATCCCAGGTGCTAGGATTAAAGGCGTGAGCCACCACCGCCTGGCTCTGTTTCTCTTTTAGATGGAAATCAATCTCTTGTAATCCAGGTTGGCCTTGAACTCACAGAGATCTGCCTGCCTTTGCCTCCAGAGTGCTGGGATTAAAGGTGTGTGCCACCACTGCCTCGCCTCTAGTGTGGCTAACTAGTGCGGCTAGCTCCACACTCTGATCTTCGGCAAGCTTTATTTGTTAGATCACAAACAGTATCACCACAGTACAATTGGCCAGCTCACCCCTGTGAATCCCTTTAATGCTTGCATTGTTATCTCGATTGCATAGACAACAAAGCAGAGTACAGGAACCTTAACAGCTTGCCAAGGCCACTTGTTACTGAGTGTGGGACTTGAGGGCTCATGCTCTCTCACACCCAGGCTGCTCCCCCCACGAGGCAGGGGGATTCCAGCAGCTGTGATGCTTGGACACACTGTGGGTCTTGATCACATCTCTGGGGCTGCCATTCCCCACATTGACACTAAAGAAGGACTTTTCAACTCTTGTGTTGTACAGCTAAGATCAGAGTACAAATGAAAGCCTTTGTGTGTTTGTTTTAAGTGAGACAAGGAGGAAGAAGCTATTTGCAGTGTTGAGGGAAGAGAAGGTCAAATCACTGCATCTACACCACCTGCTGGGTCTAACAATAATGTAACAACACAAACCAACAATACACATATACAGACCTGTGCATCTGAATATGAAAATGAAAGAGTGACCATGCATGAAGGGATGATTTAAACCAGATGTGGAACAACTGGTTGGAAGATTGAGATAAGAGTCCCATGGTGTTCAAGAAAGATGCCTGCATTTTAAGGAGTGTGGTGGTTTGAATAGATGTGTCCCCCATAGACTCATGTGTTTGAATGCTTGTCCTATAGGGACTGACACTTTTAGAAGGTGTGGCCTTTTTGGAGGAAGTCTGTCACTGTGGGAACAGGCTTTGAGGTCTCATAAGCTCAAGCCATGACCAGTGTGGCTCATAGTCTCCGTCTGCTGCCTGAGGGTCAAGGTGTAGAACTCTCAGCTCCCTCTCTAGCACCATGTCTGCCTGCATGCTGCTGTGTTGAAGATGCTACCTATGCCGCCTCACACCAGCAATCTGCTTCCCACCCCTGCGTTAGCTTTTTGAAACCAAATCCCAAACCATGCATTTGCAGGACGAAGAGTATCTGTCAATGGCTTTAGGGCCCTTTCAACATAAAGCCCAGATTCCTGAAGGTGTTCATCCACCCTTCTTATCAGTTGGTTCTTATAACTAATGGCTCTTTCACGTTTTCCAGGGCACCAAAGGCATTCTTCTAGCTATTAGTGTTTCCACAAGACAGTGTGCTTCACAGGACACATGGGACAGGAGTAGGCAGCAGGGTTTAGGACTTGTCCATGTCACTATCACCTTCTCCTAAGAGGTCTTCCTTGGCCTTCCTCTTCAGTCAGGCCATTATGATTCCCTCCCTCTCTGCACGTACACACTGCACTGTCCCCCTCTCTGTCCTGCTTTTAACTGGTCACCTCTGTGGGAACAAAGGACAGGGGAGTATTTCTTCCATTCCAAATGCTTGTTAAAATTGCTAGATGAGGAAAGTATAATTGTTTGTTAGGCAACCAAGGAATGAATTAGTCTGGGAACTATTAAAAAACCACTTCAGATTTTTTCTTAATTGTAAAGAAGGGTGAAGCTAAATCATTTGTAGGAAAATGTATGTCATTGGAGATAAATCTTATCAAGTGAGTGAAGTCCGAAAGAAAAATAACACACATTTTCTCTCAGCTGTGGGTCTTGGACTTTACAGCTACACAAAATTAAGCATGTTCAGATGCTATGAAGAGAGAGCTGAAGTTCTCCTGGGAACAACAGAGACTGATGGGGGGGTGGAGTAAAAACAGGGAGGGCAGGGGGTGCAGGGATGGTTTAGTGGCATGCGCTGCTCTTGCAGAGGACCCAGGTTCTGTTCCCAGCACCCATGTGGTGGCTCACAACTGCCTGCGACTGCATTTTCAGGGGATCCCATGCCCTCTTCTTATGTACATACAGGTATACACACACACACACACACACACACACACACACACACACACACACTGAAACCAAATCTTAAAGAATGAGGAAAGTAGCAGGATAAAGGGCAATATTCTCAAAATGTATTATAAACATACATAAAATGACTTGTTTAACCCTGTGTAGTGATATTAATGATAATAAAATAACTTTAAAAAATTTCATCAAATAGGTAGAACTTCAGTGAGTTCAAAACTGGGCTAGACTACATAAGAAAGTCCAGACGCACCAGGGCTATACAGTAACTTCATCTCAAAAGCCAAAAACTACAGTGAAAATCTTCATGATTTCTCCTGAAAGCTGCATTATGCTTCACTGCATGCAAACATCTTACAAAAGCCCTACCTGACATTTAAATTTCCTTTAAAATTCCATTATGGGGCCATCACGATGGCTCAGCAGGTCAACATACTTGATGGACAAGCCTGATGACCTGAGTCTATTGACGGGATCCTACAGCAGGAAGACAACCAACTCTCAAAAATTGTATTCTGATTACTATATGCATGTGTGTCTGAATTCTCTTTCTCCCTCTCTCCCACACACATATATACAAATAGGTAAGAAGATCCCACTGCAGTCATTAATATCACATAAAATAGTTTCAGCATTTTGGGTTAAAATCCTCACTTAAGGAATCCAGGAAGTGGAATCATATGTCTGAGCTATGCCATCTTTGATCATCACCACATATAAAGGTCATTGCTTTTCAAATGATTTTACTGAATTACCAGCATTGGTAAAAAGTACAGCAACCAGGCAGTGGTGGTGAGTGCCTTTAGGCAGAGGCAGGCAGATCTCTGAGTTCGAGGCCAGCCTGGTCTACAGAGCAAGTCCCAGGACAACTGGGGCTACACAGAATACAGACAAACCCTGTCTTGTGGAGAAAAAAAACAAAAAGCAGTGTTACCTTGACAGTTAAAAGTTAAAATTCCCTTTATCTTTTCTGCTCTTAAATCTGCATCTTTAGATTTCTAGCTGTTGGTTGCATTTCCTTTGTTCACCAGCTAATTTGTAACATGTCTAGTCTGTCAGCATCTAAGCACGTCACACAGCAAATGACTAGAGCTGTCAGAGAGACACAGCTGTCTGTGTCTTGGAGGAGTGTACTGAGTAGAGAAAGGAGATGATAGATAGGGGCTGGAATTTGAGCCCTGGAAACATTCTAGGAGGGAAAAACTATCCAGAACCCAGAACCATATCAGGTAGAAGGAAAAAAGGAAATTTGTTTTTCCTTTGTAAATAGGAAAAGTTTAGCCATGTAACCTAACTGAAAGCCAGCCTGCATTTTGAGGCAAGGCCTGTTAGAAATGTACATCTAATTCAATTTTGACTTTACTAAAAGATGAAATAATTTCCGGAGAGTATGACTAAAAAAAAAAGGAACATTTTTGTCTTCTGAGTTCAGAGGAAATGAAGTCATGTACCCTCCAGGGTGTGGATACAGGGTCCGTCCTCAGCTGCTCTGACCTCCTGAGTAAGCCACATGACTCAGCCCTTCCAGGCTGTGGCTGAAAGGAAGCAGGTATGAGAACCTGCATGGAGCACCAGCCTGTGCCAGATAAGTGTGGAGTTTCTCACAGCTGACTGATAGAGGGATTACTGGCATTCCTGCATTGCAGATGGGAAGGCAGAACTGAGAGGTAATATTTTGCTCCAGGTCACACAGTACCAGTTGGTGGAGTCTGGGTTTTCCCTCCTTCCAGTGTGTCTCCCATCATCTCTCCACATTTCCCTTTGTCTTTTCATGTGAAAGAATTTCCTGCATGTAACTCTTCCTGCGAAGGTTCTACAGCAGCAACAATAACACAAAAACACAGGTCTCATGGCATGAGCTGGGTCAGGGAAAGGGTGGTATAAAGAAAATAGATATATTTATGTACAGTCTCATGTACTCTCACCCTTAGCTACTTTTGATCAAACTGGAATAGGAAGTGTTTTTGGTGTGTGTGTGTGTGTGTGTGTGTGTGTGTGTGTGTTTTAAATACTGTTTTTTAAGATTACAATTATTTATTGGGAAGGAAGCACATACATGTCACACAGTGCACATGGAGGGGTCAGCGGACAACCCACTGGAGTCAGTTCTCTCCTTCCACCATGTATGACCTGGGGATCAAACTCAAGGCATTAGATTTTGTGTCAACCACCTTTACCCACTGAGTCATCTGCTGACCCCCAAACATTCTTTTTAGCTGTCACTTACAATAATTTTACACTGTGGTCATTTAAACATTGGGTCAGTCTGACCAGTCAAATTAACCGTTTCTTTTCATTCTTTGTTAACTTTTTTGTTGGTGTTCAGAAATTACCTGGTGCAAGATGTACTGTTCTCGGAGCTGGCTTGCAGAGTTCCATGCAATGTTTCCATGCACCAAGACCTTAGCTTTCTCAATCCACTTCAAAATGGACTCAAGCATTTCATTGTATTCTTCTAAGTGTGCTGATGCCTGAAAAGCCAGTAACACTCAGATGAATAGAAATTCTATGTGGTGGGTGGAAAATTCATCCTTAATTTGTATCTTTTGATACAACCATCCTAGAGGGTGGCAGTTATGTCTGTTACATTGAAAGGGACCTTGGAAAGTCACCTGCCTATGAACAATCTGTCAAAAATGCCCCAGTGACTTTCTACTTCTCATTAAGTAAAGCAGGGACTACATCTTGCAGGATCTCACTGCCATAATTCACAATCACCAGTTCCTAAGCTGGGTACCACAGCAAGCAGAGTGCCTGTTATCCCAGTCTGGGAGGTGGAGGCAGGAGGATAGGGATATCTAGGTCCTCGTTGGCTATATTCAGTGCTTTTGAGGCCAGCTTAGGCTATATGAAAAAAAAAAAAAGGTGATGTACTCATTTTGACTCTAACCCAATTGTAAGATTAGTGCTCAAAGGCCAATCTACAACCAAAAACATTAAGATGATGCACATATGGGTATGTGTGTGACTTTAAAATATTTAAATCTGTCCTAAGCTGATTGTCATAAAACTCATTAGTAGATGGTTTTTCTTTTCACATCACCCATTTACAAAGTATATAAGCCAAGAGAAACTTTGTCAGTCAAAGTATAATGTGCCTTGTTATGAAACAAATACAGGCTTATATATAAATCATAGAAACATTGTAGAAAATAAGCCACAGAAAAACTTCTTACATCATCTCTAGTATTATTGTCTTTTCTCATTTATTTATTTTTTAAAGATTTTTATTTATTTATTATGTATACAACATTATGCTTCCATGTATATCTGCACACCAGAAGAGGGCACCAGATCTCATAATGGATGGTTGTGAGCCACCACGTGGTTGCTGGGAATTGAAGTCAGGATCTCTGGAAGAGCAATTAGTGCTCTTAACCTCTGAGCCATCTCTCCACACCGTCTTTTCTCATTTATTTTCCAGAGAGAAATGGTAATAATGTCTACTTTAAAGCATTTTGGTTACTAGCCTGGAGCACACACCTGGTTAAGTTTGGAGAGCCGGCTCTCAGCCTGCCTGATGGTTTGCTGGTGGAGCTCCATCAGCTTTCCTATCTTCTTGGCCAGTGGCTTGCCCAGCTGATCATGCTGTTCTGAGAATGTTTGTACAGCAGCGTCCAACTCCATTAACTTTGAATTACAGCCATCTAATTCTTCTCCCAGCACCTATACGGTCATCAACAGGAAAGAACAAAGGGTTACAGAAAATATATTTTCCAGGGTTTCCTAAGATCAGAAGGATTACATTTTAGATGGTTTCTGTTAAAGGTATGAATTATACATAATCATGTTACTATGATTTATCTGTTACCATCTCTTGGGCGAGAGCAGCAGAGTGGAGAGTGTTGTGAGCCTTATATCTGTTTCCCTGAGAGAGGATTGGTTTTTCCTTTTGCCTCACCCAATGGATATGAGCTGTTTAGCTATCAACGGTGCAAACACAAGATGTGATTGAGTCACCTTGGAATTTATAAATGTGGACTTCTAGACCATCACTCATCTTTTGCTACTCTATTACACACATATGCGTGCATGTATATCTATGGATGAGTTTCTATTACAGTGAAAAATTATATAAATGGACTGGTTATTACATTTATGGTGTGTCTTAACTGCATCCTTTTCCTACTGGGTTTTAGTGGTTTGGTAAGAACTGTCTATAACCAGGTAACACTGATAGGACAAAGCAGTTTAGCTAGCAGCCAGCAGCCAGAAATGCCCCCTGCCTTTCTGCCCCCCACCCCCACTTACCTCCTAGCCCCTTCTCCTTACTTTGTGCTCTTCCCCATACCTCCTGCTCCCCCTTTACCTTCTGCCCCCTTCCCCTTACCTCCCCCCCTTACCTTCTGGCCCCTCCTCCTTACCTTCTGGTCAGTCTTAGCTTGAACCAGATTGTCGGTTTTGGCTTTCAGCTTCGTTAGAATGGTGGTGATATCTTTGGCCACCTTCTGAATCTGGCGGCTGAACTCCCGGCTGGTAGCCTTGCCTTGCTCAATTTCCTGTACCTTCTCTTGGATCTAAACGACCAAGGGGCGGGGGAGACACCAAACCCCATTGAAATCAGAGAAGAGATACTAAGATTCTCAAATGGTTTCAACTAGTCATGTTTCAAGTGGACAGTTTAACCCTGGTGACCTCATGAAACTGGGTGCCAGGGGTGACTGAGATAGCACAAGGTTTAAAAGGACTTGAGCAGTTGTGAGAAGCAGGTTTGGATCTCAGAATCCAGGTATCAAGCTGGGTGTAACCCCAGTTCTGCAGGGGCAGAGGCAGGAGAATTGCAGAGGCTGCTGATTTCAGCCTTGATGAAAAAACAGGATCCCTGCGCTCAGGATGAGACCCTGCCTCAACAGGATAGGTAGGGAGTGAAAAGGGGGACACTGAATGCTTCATTCTGGCTTCGGTGTGTGCACAGACACACATGTGAATGAGAACACACACACATATAAATGAATAAATATTTTTATCACTAGAGGAAACAGGTCCAAACCCCCAAGGCTTTGAGGCTGATATACTCTCAGTAGCTTTGTGCATTAACCATGTTCCTTCTACTGTTCCAGCAAGAAAAAAAAAATCAATGTCTGCTCCCTGAGTCATTCATTAAATATTTACAGATGCTAGTTAGCGTTGCCCTGTAGATAGCTGACCCTTGCTTGTCTACTCACTGACTTTGTATCTGTGATATCTGTGATATACAGACTCTTTACAGCTTTTTTCTTCTCTTTACTGTGTGTGTGTGTGTGTGTGTGTGTGTGTGTGTGTGTGTGTGTGTGTAAAACAGCACACTTGTGAAAGCCAGGGTACTGACTCTTGGGAGTTCTTCCACTATATGGGAGTCCTGGGGACCAAACTCAAGTCATCAGGCTTGGCAGCAAGTGCTTTTCCCAGCTGAATCATCTTGCCATCTCCTAAGATTTTTTTTCTTCATGAAATAGAAACCTACCCACAAGTAGTTGGAGGCATATGGGCTGTTTTCAAGCACCTTTTTCTAAGTGTCTGATAGTGACTTCCTGTTGTACTCCCATCACATACCAACAAAGCAGGAAGTGAATATAGTGAGAAAGGTTACAAATGATGACTTAAGAGTAGCACAGTAGCAGAGTACTGGCACAGCAGCGAGGCCATGGGTTTAGTCCCCAGAAACACACACACACACACACACACACACACACACTAGAGTGGGTTTGATATGAATTATAACAATATTTACTTCATGTATTTTTTTAAGAGTGTAATTCTGGGGGAAATAGTCAAGAGCATAAATGTCACTGGGCATGGTGACACAACCTACAATCCCAGCACTCAGGAGCCTAAGGAAGAAAAGTCAGAATAGTGAGTCCGAAGCCAGGCTGGGTTACAATAGTGAGCCTGTCTTAAAAAAATAAGTAAAATACAAATGTTTTTCTTTAGATACAAGAAAGACCTTTTGAATCTCAGAGAAGCAGCGTTGCATTGGTACCCTACCGGCCTGCATCATTTTGACATGAATGCCAAAATAACTAGACACACAGAACAACTCTAGCAAGTAACAAGTAAACAGAGAAAAATACATTTAAAGTCCATTTTCAAATGACTTATTTTAATTTGTGTGTGTGTGTGTGTGTGTGTGTGTGTGTGTGTGTGTGTATATACATGTGTGCATGTATGTGGACACCTACAGAGTCCAGGAAAGGGTGCCGGAGCCTCTGGAGCTGGAGTGGCAGGTGCTTGTGAGCCACCTGATGTGGGTGCTGGCAATGAAACTTGTCCTCTGCAAGAGCGGCATGTGCATGTAGCTGTGAAACCACCTCTCCACCCCCCAAGTGACTTTTCAAAGGTCTTAGCAGTTAACTTATCCTTCCTGACAGATCTCCCAATGTCCAAGAAGTCCAATAGGCTAGTTATATATTCAAAAAACCAAACAAACAAACAAACAAACAAAGAACCCAGTATGTCTTTGTATAGCTCAAAAATCATGGTGCAGTAGAATTAGATTCTAATATGATTTTCACACACTCTGCCCCCTTCACTGAGATTCAAAAGTGCCACATAGATGTGTAGTCTATGTTTTCTGATCCACAAAGCATGTTAGCATCTATGTATGTTTTCTCTTTGTGCCACATTGAGTGGCCTATAAGTGACCCTCAAAGGCTCTGGCCGTCAGCCACCATGACAATTCTACAAACCTACCACACTTCCACACAGATGCCACATGACAAGATTTTTACATGGACGTGAATCTTCTTTATGGGAGCAAGACCCCAAATCTCCTGGTCTTTGAACCAGAAAGGACGATGTATTTCTTGTTTCAAACAATTTTCCAGTCTGAAGTCCTGAGTTCTGATTACAATGTGCCTTCTGTTGGTTGTTTGGGAGGCAGGGCAGAATGAAGCCCTTCTTCTAATACCATGGGACCTCAGCACGCATACTAGTGACAACTGCATCCTTGGCTTTAGTTGTTTCCTCCCCATGAGAGTCCCTTTCCCATGAGAGTATCTTCACCTACCTACCTTATATCTTGCTGAACTAAAATCACCATTTGAAGAGTGACTGGCACACTCTGGTTACTCAATATTAATATTGGAACATGTCAGATATTACTTTTCTGCTTAAGATATTATTTTACTCATGTGGGAAAGCAGATAAACTCTATGCCTTGAACACCAGGTTCTCAGTTATGGGTTTATTGGTGCTGTTTGAGGATGCTGTGGTCCTTTGGGCTTTGCTTGAAATTTATAGCCATCTCTACTTATAGCCCAAGATTTCTGCTTTCTGGTCTTCAATATATGAGTCCCAACCACACATTATGTCATGCCTTCCCCACAATTACAGAATGTCCTCCCTGAGTCCAAACAAATCCTTCTCCCCTCATTTATATCTGTCAGATTTTTGGTCACATTGATGAGAAAAATGAATAGTACATTTGTGTAGCATTCCTATTCATAGCTATGGTCATTTGATATGTTTCTTGCCTAGGAATAAGTTCCAAGTGAATATTAATTGTTTTATAGTTTTTCATTATTTACCTTGGAATATGATTGTACAAACTGAGATGCCTCTTATAGGACTAACCCTGCAAAAGAACAGAAAGACCCCACATGCCCAGTAAGTTTACCTGATCATGGATCTTCAGGTCCAGTGCAACTTCAGCTAGCTGGAGGGAGATTTCAGATGGTAATATAGTGTAAAGACCCAAGTACTTATTCTTCTGCTCTTCTGCAATTTTCTCGATGCTCTCCCGGTGGCTTGTGGCTTCTGCCAGGAGGATCTGAGAAAAGAAAGCAAAACAAGAAACCAATAGGTACCTGATAAGGACCACACTTTTTATGCATCTAGAGATAAAGCTATCTATTTTTCATCGGTTATGAAATTAGAGAAACATCTTACAGAGGGGAACGAGCTCCAGCATGTCCCCTCTCATCAGGTAGCTAGTCCCATGAAGGAATAATACAACATACTATATGATACATGGCTAAAAAATTCCAATTAATAATTCATTAATTCAAGGGAAACCAAAGTAAAAGCCACATTTTAACATGAAAATAGAGGAGACGTTTGTACCTTCAGTTCTTCTAGTTGTGTGTCTATCTCTATTGTCGGATTCCCTAAATATTCCTTCGTTTCTTGAACCCAAGACTTCACAGAATTAATTTGGGTCTCCACTGCTTCTCGTTCCTGTAGTTCCTCCTTCACCAGTTTTCCATGACTCTTCACTTTGTCTTGCATGCTTCAAAATACCAGAGGGAGAGAGCAGAGGTGCATCTGAAGTGAAAGGAACTCTCCTGGACACGATAGAATTTTACAACAGACACAGAATGGGAGAAACCTAGGAAGTTTGTGGCAGGTAATGTTACTTCTATTGCTGTCAGATATTGCTTAGTGACACCAGGGTTCAGTTCAAGTATAACAGAAGAAGTTGCGTCACTGGGGGGTGAATAATTTATCCCTGGAAATTTGGGAGTTGACTTTGTTCCCTGCACTAAATTGCTATTTATTTCCCTATGCAGAAAACCCAGAGATAACCAGATTCTTTACTTAATTTTTCTAATCTGCTCAAATGGTACAGTAGTATCACCATTGAAAGTAATGTGTCATTGGGGTATGTGTGTCAAGAAGCTAGCCTTTAAAGAAAGAATCAAGCTCTAGACATGTCACCATGATTAATGTCAATGTCATGACTGATTTGTATTAAAGGAATAAAAGGCTTTTCAATACATGGTATCAGATTACCGTAACACCATTAATAACTAAGATAGGTGAATATTTGTATGAGAATAGAGGAATAAAATTATCTAAAGACACTTTTCTAATGACCCAAGTGAATCAAACCAGTTCTAGGTCATCAAGATAAACCTTCTCCTAGATTCACTATCAAGGAATGGAATTAATTGCCTAGATTTCTGTATCATCCTGCTCCTATCCCCCTATATTACCAATGGGTTTGATAAAACTTTATCAAACCAATATTTTAAATAATTCTCAGTTGTAAAGGCCCACACCTAAACTGGGACTTATTAATAGCCAGACTGACCTCAAACTCATGGCCCTCCTGCCTCAGCCTGCTGGTGGTTAGGATAAGTATGTGTCAATATGCCTGGCACTTGTTATCTTTTGAATGACTCAGCCTCTCTCCCAACACCCAAGGGATTTCTACATTTATTTTTTTATGTCAATCTATCCCAATGTCATTCAAAACGCTTGGTCTCTAGCTGCAGAAGGGAACTTCTTTGCCACCCCTAGACTGGTTACTGCTGCTTATAATCTCTCAGTGTCTGCAGTGGCTAACCTCCATTGCCAGCCTCCCTGGGTGTAGAGTCACCCCAGAAGCACACTCATGAGCAACTTTCCAGAGATGTTTAACTGAAGGCAGATGCCCTCTCCTAAATGTGGGTAGCACTACCCCCCTGGCAGGGGTCCCAGATTGAACAAAAAGGAAAACAAGAGAAAGTAAACCAAGCACAATCATTAATCACTCAGTTTCCTGGCTTGGGTGCAATGAGAGCAGGGGCCTCATGATCCATGATGCCTCCCCTACTGTGACGGGCTGTATCCCCTCAGACCATGAAGCAAAACAAAATCTTCCTCCCCGAAGGTGATCTCCTCACAGGGACAAGGAAAGCAACAACTTTGTGCATAGTTTGCAGTACTTTACTGAGCTGGTCCTTTGGTCACCTGTCAGTACTTTAAAATGCAGGAAAGTAAACAATGAGTCTGCTTAACTAGTCTGTGTGACTTGTCATTGAATTCCCCCCCTCCTGTGTGTGTGTGTGTATGCAGACAGGGGGGGGTGTATGAATATACATATATGTGCAGATGCATGTATATAGAGGCCAAGGGTCAAACTTGGGTGCAATTCCTCGGTTGCTATACATCTGGGCTTTTCAGACAGTCTCTATAGCCTAGAGTTCATGGAGTAGGCTCAGCTTCCTGGCCAGCCAGTTCCAGAAAGAACTGTCTCTAAGTCCCTGTTGCTGGGAAGACAGGTATGGGCTGCCACACTAGGCCTTTCTTCCTTCCTTCCTTCCTTCCTTCCTTCCTTCCTTCCTTCCTTCCTTCCTTCCTTCCTTCCTTCTTTCCTTCCTTCCTTCCTTCCTTCCTTCTTTCCTTCCTTTCTTCCTCTCTTTCTTTGTCTCTCTCTTTCTTTCTTTCTTTCTTTCTTCCTTTCTTTCCATGTGGGTGGCTAACCTCCATTGCCAGCCTCCCTGGGTGTAGAGTCACCCCAGAAGCACACTCATGAGCAACTTTCCAGAGATGTTTAACTGAAGGCAGATGCCCTCTCCTAAATGTGGGTAGCACTACCCCCCTGGCAGGGGTCCCAGATTGAACAAAAAGGAAAACAAGAGAAAGTAAACCAAGCACAATCATTAATCACTCAGTTTCCTGGACCATCATGTCTATGTAGTAGGCACTTTACCAACTGAGGTATCCTCCCCACTGGCTCTAATCATTGTATGACATTTATATTAGCGTGTACGTACTTGTCTAATGAAGAATGGAAGAGTTATAAAAAGCCAGAAGTAGACATGATAGAATAGATCTCCACGTTTTGCAGCTGGCCTGACGAAGCAACCCCATGCCTGAGTACCCCAGATGTCCCTTTGAGTCAAGGCCAGTTGTAATAGTGAATAAAACAGGTATGGAATTACTTGAGACATTGATCTTGCATTTTGGTGATCTCCTGAAGGATGGGGACCTCTTCTCCAGTGCCGGGGATGGCTCCGTCTTGCAGCATGCTCAGTGCTCGCTGCTGGAGCACGCCCAGGGCCAGCTGCTGCTGCTCCAGCTCCAGTGAGCATGCCTCGAGGCATTCAAGGAGGGCCGTGAGCTCGACTTTTGAGGCTTTTTCTGTTGAACTTCCAGGTAATTTGCTATGCAATTGATCGATCATTTCAGTGGTTTCCTTAATCTAGTGACAAGAAGACACACATCATATGAAACTCAAAATTATACTGAAGATTGACATGGTAGCTTTAACATGAAAGACCAACCACCTCTCCCAGCCTGGGTTTAAATTATTAATCTCCAAATCTTATCAAGGTAGTCACAGACTACACGTGGCAGAGAAACATTAAATGAACGAACACACAAAACATCGACTCTTAAAGATAGCAGAGCATATGTTCGTCACAAAGAGGGCAGGGGTAAAGCCACACCCTGGTGGGTGGAAGAAAGTACACATGGATTTGAGGAATGTGTTCAATTCTCGTTTTTAACAACAAAGAAAAAAGTTAATTTTGGGCTTTTTCCAAAATAGGTTAAAAACAAATGGACTCACACTGGACTTGTCTTCCTTTCGAAATTTTATGGTTTAATTTTCTTTTTAAAAATTCATTTATTTATTTATTTTTGAAGGTTTATTTATTATTTATGTGAGTGTGCGCACACATGCATGAGTGAGGCATGTACAAGAAACACACATATGAATAGCACAGCACAACGCTGAGGAGTCTGTTCTCTCACTTTACTGTTCTAGGGACCAAAGCAGGCTGTCAGTCTTGTACCACAAGCCCTTTTACCTGCTGAACCATTTAGCTGGCCCTTATTTATTTCAAACTTAGTATACAAAACAACAGATTCCCTTATAACATTTTCATATATATACTGGTTTTATTTGATACTATCCCTCCCTCCCTTTCCAATCTCTCTGTCTTTCCCGCATCCTGCCTCTTGCATTCTTCTGCCCCTGTATTCTTTCTTTTTCTTTTCTCTGTCATGTGCATTCTATTACCCTCCTCATGCCCTGTGGTCCTAACATAAAACTAAATTGTATAGTGTACATTATACTTTGTTTCATAATGTAGTTTGAAATGGCAAAAAAAAGATAAAAGTTTCATAAGACTAATTTCAAAAGAGATGCATTTTTGAATGAGAAATCCCCACCCTCATCTCCAGCCTTGGGTATTTGAATACTTGGTCCCCAGCTGATGGCCCTATTTGAGGAGGTTTAAGTAGTGGAGGAAGTATGTCACTGTGGGAGGGCTTTGAGAGCTAAGGGCTTCCCCTACTCCCAGTTTGTGTTTGCTCCTTTGTGGTTGTGGTTCAAGATGTGAACTCTGACCTTGCTGCTCCAACCACCATGCCTGCTGCCTACTGTCTGAGTCTTGGCCTTACTAATCCTCTGGAACTCTAAACCAAAATAAACTCTTTCTTCTATAAGTTACTCTGATTATGGTGTTTTTATCACAGCAACAGAAATGTAACCAACCCAAAGGCAAGATACCAGTTTCCAAAATACATGCTAATCTTTGAGAAATACAACAAAGCACAACTTAAGCCGATCCATAATGGAAGTTACCTTATTGCTCAAGCCCTTCCACTCATCTATTGCATCCTTCAGTATCTTCTCCTGGTCCTGGGCCACAGCACGGAGACGCGTCCAGCGCTGCCAGACAGTGGTCATCGACCTGCTTAGGGTCGCTTTGCTTGCATCGTTTCCGGTTTTCTCTAGTTGTGATGCTTTTTCCTCCAGGGTCACAATTTTCTCATGGAAAGAGTCAACTACAGACACTAAAGCCTAGTTCAGGGTTGGGGGGGTGAGTAGAGGGGGTTAGAGAAAGATTGATTTTGTTTTTGAAGTTCTGTGGACTTGGGTGAAAGCCCAAAGACACTTGCAAAAGGAAATATTTCTATGTAAATTTAGGTTCCTTGGGCAGTCATGGTGGCACATGGCTAGTGGAGGGGAGGCGGGGCAAGAGAGTCAGGGAGTCAAGGTCATCTTGAGCTACATGGAGAGTTTAAGACCAGCCTGGGCTACCTGAAACCCTGCCTCAAAAACCCAGAAGCAAATTAATAATTATGAATACATTCTGCCTCCTCTTGTAACTCTTAGGGTTTTACTTATCAGAGTTGGGTTTGAACTTATTTTGAAAGGTGAATATTATTTATTTATGAAAGGCAAGTTATTTTCGACTTGAGATGAATTTTTTTAAATTTCTGAACCACCTCCCCCAAAAAAAAAGTGAAAGAAAATTTTTATTTTTTTATTTTGGTACTTTAAGAATGCTCTAGTCTTCCTTATATTACTATGCTAGGTGAGAAGCACTCAGGAATTTATTTCTGGATTTCTTTTTTAGTTAGTCCAAGTTATCAAGAGACAGTATTTACCGATGTTTTAAAAGGGTTATTTATTTATTTGTTCTGGGGGCTGGCAGATATAGGGAGGAGTTAAAGATGACTTTTCATGAGTCAGTTCTCTCTCTCTACCTTGTTTGGCAGAGAGTGTCTCTCTTGTGTTCTGCTTGGCACTAATTCCAGGAGTTTCCAGGAGGTTCCCCCAGTGCCTTCTCTCTTGCTGTAGGGGTGCTAGGATTACTAACCTGTGCCTGCAAATCTTGCTTTTTATGTGGGTTCAGGAGACCCAACCAAGGTTGGCAGGTGTCAGGCTTGCACAGCGAGCCTTATTACACACTGAGACATCTCCCCAGCCCTTTATGCTATATCTTCTAAGTACTGTATCTTCTCAGAAGCAGATTGCTTTGAATTTCCCTGTTGATCCTTAGCTATGCATTCCCTGTGACCACCCCCCAATGATGGATGAGAAGTGTTTATTTGTGTCATTATCATACCGAAAGAAGCCAGATGGAAATAAAGGTTTAATGATGTGATTCTGGAAACATCACAAAGACGTGTTGCAATTAACATTAAAAGACAGTAGAATGACAACGACAAAACTGACCTTGTGTTTTGACAACTTTTCTTCAGCTTCCTGCATGGAAGAAGTCTTCAACAGTGAAAACTCAGACAGCTTCTTTTCTGCATCGTTCATCAACTCGATAACCTCTTCCCTTGCTCTCTGGTACTCCTGCCATTGAACCGTACATCTTGAAAGAGTCCAAGAGAAATAAATAAGCAATACAAACCCAGCTATTTCCACACAGAGCTCTGGTGTCTACATGTCTAATAATAAGAGAGAAAAACAAATTTACAGGCTAAGGTATGTTACTATATACATTCTATTAACATGATGCTATTTTCTGTGTGACAGTATCTTTTTGCTCTAAATACCTCTGCAGAAGGTCACGCTGAGCATGGGAGTCCTCGAAAACCCTCTGACTCTTCTTTTCCAGGGAAGTCATCTTCTGTGCTAGCTCTTCCTTTCCAGTTGGCTTGATGAGTGGGTCTAGCTTGGTCACCAGACCTTGGAGTTCCTCCATGTTGTTGTGGAACTGACACTCTGTTTTGAAAAATTCCACGTGACTTTTGAGATTTTCCTCCGCACTCTCAACATCTAGGCCATTGCCTGCCAGCTGTAACATTTCCTGGGCGTCTTCAAGCCAGTCATTAGCGGTTTGGAACACTTGATAATACCTTTGACAGTGACTGTATATGTCTGTCAAGGTTGCCTGAAAGACAGTCATTGTGATAAAATCAACTTCCATTTACAGTGGGTTTGTAAGAAGTCACTTCATTTTTCCAGCTTTTTTCTAATCCTCAGCTTTATAAATGCTATGAAAAGTTAACATATAATTTGGGAGAACTTTTTTCATGGTGAGTGCCTCTGAATCCTTTATTCCCCATTTTGCTAATCTTACTATAATTCTGCCGATGTGGTTAAAATACATCATGGATAAGTAAGAAGAAAAATAAACTATAAATTTATGTTAGCATCTTGACTGGTTCTGAAACTATGTTTTTTTTTTGTTTTTTTTTTTTTTTTTCCGTGCGTGTGTGTGTGTGTGTGTGTGTGTGTGTGTGTGTGTGTGTGTGTTTCTCAAGACAAAATACAAAGTGTAGTAGCTGGATGACTTGTGAAGTAGTTATGCTTCAGTGAGTTAAAAGAATGACAACATTCAAAGTCCAAACTAGTCTTTGCCAGCTTCTGGAAATAAATGACTTGCCCCTGAGTCTTGAGCAGAGACTAAAATAGAAGAAGTAGAATCCACAAGGCTTGCTACTTCAAACCCAGGAGTGGAAATACTCTAACCCAGCCATCAGTGAATGGACAAGAGGAGTCACACTGAAAGCAAAGATGGCTATGCAGTAGTCAGGGTCTGCAGCAAACAAGGAGCGACTGGGAAGAGGGAGCAAAGGGTGAGCATGTGGTACAAATACTTCCAATACCATCTGGATGGAGGCAACTAAGACACAGAGGCAAAGCAGAGGCAGCCTCCCAGATTTAACATTGTATTCAACAATTGCCAGTGTCAAACAAATAATCGATGTGATAGACCAGCAGTTCTCAGCCTGTGGGTGACAACCCATTTGAGGGTTGCATCTCAGATATTTACATTACAATTCATAACAGTATCGAAATTACAGTTGTGAAGTAGCAATTGAAATTGTTTTATCATTGGGGGTCACCACAACATGAGGAACTGCATTAAAGGGTGGTGGCATTAGGAAGGTTGAGAACCACTGTGATAGATGATTTTCAAACAGAGGAGGTCAGTGCTTGTCCTGTACTTGGGAACCTGTCTCTGTATCTACAGCTGTAGGAAAATAGTTGTTAAAGTTTAATGATGGTTCTGACATGGAGTGGAAGTATGCTAAGCACACTGTGAAAAGCCAGCATTTGGTGTGTTTGTTACAACCTTATATAAACACGATAAGGTTTGCTATTTAAAAAGGGTTAGAATTAATCTACGTAGAAAGTAAAGGTAAATGATGGGGAGATTCTGCATGCCTGATGCTCCAAAGAGGCCAGAAGAGGCATCAGATCACCTGAACTGGAGTTACTGGTGATGATGAGCCAGCTCAAGGTTCCCAAATTCAGGTCCTCCGTAAAAACATCAAATAGTCTTAAGCACTGAACCATCTCTCTAGGCCAGGATTATTATTATCTTTTGTGACAGGTTTTCACATAGCTTAGGCTGGCTTCAAATGCCCTATGTAGATTTTAATTTATGCTCCTCCTCCTGCCTCTATTTCTCAAGTTCTGGATACACTGCCATCTACCACCATGCTCCATTTAAGTAGTTCTGGGAATTAAACTCAGAGTCAAGTGCATGGTGGACAAGCGACTGAACTTTACCAACAGAACTACATTCCCAGGCCGATGGCCAGGGGATTAAAGGGAACAATCCCATGGTAGTCACTGTAGCTTTTCTCTTATATTGAACGAGGAGAGCAAGGCCCAGTAGGAGGTCAGCCTGGGAGGGTCTCCACACACTCCCATTGCTGTTTGTAGTTCCCAGATCGCAGGAACAGCAGATAGAGCACCCCTGTTCCTGCTGGGTTCCATTTGATGCCAGGAGAGGGAAGCACTCCTACCCGAAGAAGAGGAGAAGAAACAGGGCAACAGATGGGACAGCCTACAAAAGAACATGCCTTGGTATCGGAGTTGGTCTGTGTCATTCATCTGGCTTCACTCCCTTTAGAGCCTCTCCACCCCATGTGATTTTTAAAATGCCAGGTTTCACACAGCAGGAAAAGGGCACTAAGGATCCACTGGTCATATATTCCATTACTACACTCACAGTGCCTCTGTGGGGGAATTATTCCCAGGGCCTCTGCTGGTTTAGGGTGCTCAGGGCATTAGTGTGAAGCACCACATTTGTGCATGTACACCACACAGCATGCCACACTTGACGTCATCTCCATATCCCTTCTGACACCTCATACAATGCTGTTATACTTGATTGTTACGGGAGTTGTGGGTAAATGTCTGTACATGTTTCAATTAAAAAAAAAAAAACACATGCCAATCACATTAGTCTGTGGTTCCTCAAAAAATTACACACCGATCTATTGTATAAGCCAGGCATACCACTTCTGGGCATTTTCCTGAAGGGTTCTAGGTCAACATGTCACTGAGACATTTGACCGTCTACATTTCCTCATACTTTAGTTATGGAATTGACTTGAGGGTCCACCGACGACAGGAATGGATAAAGAGAATGTGGCATAAACAATGGAATTATAAACAAGGGGAGGGTGTCACTTGCAGGAGAATGAATGCAACTAAAGAGTCTTACACTCTGTGTATGGAGGCACACATACACATGCATGTATATGACATGAGAATGAAGCCTGACTAGAGAAAGGCGAGAGACAAATGGGACAGGGATGATTCATGGAGATGTCCTCATGGCACCCAGGACTATGTACGGTGAATATATGCCAATGAAAATAAGTCAGTTGCAATAAATAAATAAATAAATAAATAAAAAGAAATTTTTCTCTGAGGTTGGTTGAATCTGCTGCAAGCTACATTATCAAAATCATTTTATTATCTCCCCTAAAGGTGACAAAAAAAATGTCATACTACACTGATCTAAGTAAAGTGTATCCAGTATGGTACACATGACCATCACCACACACATAAACAATAAAAATGGTCTTTGAAGCCACCACTGAGGATGATTTGATGAACCATCAAAAAAGCAGTGTTTGGTTTTTTTTGTTTATTGGTTTTCTTATATTTCCTTTTTGGTTTTGTGTTTATTGAGATAAGGTCTCCTGTAGCCCAGGATCTCCTCAAAGTGGTTTGTAGCTTAGGGTGACCTTGAACTCCTAATCCTCCTTGTCTCCACATCGCAAGAGCTGGGATTATATGCCTGACTCACCACACTTAGATAAAATAAAGCATTGGGCTTTAAACAGAGAACCAACCCTAAGCAGACTTTTCCTGTGTCTACAGAGAGGCAGCCCGGAAAAGAAAGGCAGAGCGCCCCCTACAGACCTGCCGCGTGCGCAGGGCTTCCTGCACATCTCCATCTAGCTCCTTGAGCTCAGCCAGTGTATGCTCCAGGTCCACAGAGATCAGATCCTTGGCTTTGGTGAACTTCTCTTGCTCCTTGTGACTCAAGGCACTCATGATCCTCAGGCTGGACAGGACTTCCTCCTGGTGGATCTGGATCTTTCTGATCTCCTCCTGGATGTCCTGGAGGCTGAGGTCAAGGCACACCGGCCCACTGAGCTCTGCCTTCACCCTCCGAAGCCAGTCAAGGGACCGGTTCATTTCCGTCTGGAAGTCTATGCTCTGTACCATTCGACTCTCGCACTCGGTCACCATCTCCCCGAGGCCAGATGTCAACTGTTTCAGCTCCTCCTGCCAGGACTGGACCTGACCCTTGGCTTTCTCATAAGCGGAGGGATCCAGGTGTGGAGTAAGATCTTCGAGGTGGACAGCCACTCGTTTAAGCAGAATCCCAGAGTCCTGCAGACTTCCTGCCAGTGCGTGGTAAACTTTGAGCTTCTCCTCAGCGGGCAGCGTTTCCTCATTCACTTTGGCCTGCTCGGCCTTCACGGTTTCCAGTTGACTCTCCAGCTGCTGGCACATCCTCGCATGCTCTTTGTAAGCGCTGGTGGTGTCTTCTAACAAACTGACCCTTTGCTCTGCTTGTCGCTTCAGCCTGTGATACAGGGCAGCCAGCTGCAGCATCTTCTCTGGCTGCCAAGGCTGACCCGTGCTGCGAAAACTTTCTTTTTTCTGGTTCAGTTCACTCACAGCTTCCCCAAGGCCCACCACCTCACCCAGAAGGGCTCTGCAGCTCTCTTGAAGGGTCACACACTCCTCAACGATCAGGTCTGAGGGCATTTTTCTCATCTTCAGGAACTGGTCTTCCAATTCACCCAGAGACTGGGTTGTCAGCTCTATCAAAGAAGCATATTCCTTTCGGGCCAGAATTGCTTCCTGGATTTTATAGAACTTGTCCTTAGCCAAAGCAACAATGACGTTGAATTGTTGAGGCAGAGCACTGAGTTTTTCACTGAGGTAGGAATGGTCAACTTCATTTAGGGATGGTAGCATGGCCTGCCCAGTCCTCTGCAGTGTGAGCAGAAGGTTTTCGTACTCAGGAGATTGTTCTAGAATGTTCTGGTATTTGTCCAATTGTGCATGGAGTTCAACACTCTCATTCATGAGATTGATTTCAGGAAATGTGACGATGTCTGCTTGTTTAAGCCAATGGCAGGCTTTATCAAAGTCTTCCTTAAAATGCTTTCTAGAAACTAGGCTCTTCTCCAGCTCCTGCAACCGCTGACTACATTTTTGCAAAACGGTGTCATAGACACTCTGCAACTCCTGAAGCTTCCCCAACACTTCTGGCCTTTCTTGTTCTATTATTCCTTTCATCAGTTCTCGACCCTGTGCCCAAAGCCCCGTGACCTCATTTTGGTAAGTCTTAAGACTTGCCTGTGCAGTCTTACATGTTTTCACCTGCTTGCTCACATCGTCTGGAAGTAAGCAGATATATTCCCGGAACATGATCTTTCGCTCGTGTTGTTGGATTTGGCTGGTGGCTTGAAAGACTGCCATGAGAAACTGGGTCTTCTCAGACAAAGCCTTGTTCAAGTACTTCCTTCGCTGACCCACTAAGTCACTGAGACAATTCACGTGCTTCTGGGCATCCGAGAGTGCCTTCTGGATCACTTTCCGTTCATTGAGGCCAAGGTCAGCCATCACACGATCTGCATCCTTCATCAGTGACTTCAGGAGCATCTGTTTGGCTTCCAGCTCACTGCAGATGGCCAGGTGGTCCATGAGGAGGTTCTGAACCATGTCGGGTGGTGGACTCTGCTTCAAGGCCTCCACAATGTTGGGTTGTTGCTCTTCTGCCCACTCCATCAGCTCCTGGAACCTGGATTGTACCACATTTAATTCCTCCAAGTTGGTGACAGACACCTGGATTTTCCTTTTGACGAGGTCCTCAAGCTGAAACCAGCGTTGCTCCAAGTGACTGGTCTGCTCTCTCACCAGCTCCCTGTCATCTAGACTCAGGTGCTCTGTCAGTTTCTGCTTGTGGTCTTTCAGTTCTTCAATGGCATGCTTCTTCTCCTGCAACGCCAAGGCTAACTTCTTCAAAGCCTCCAAGTGGACAGCTGTGCTTTCTGCATTGGATCTATAAACACACAGGACAGGTCAGTTCATTACCCTCCTAAATGACATATCAGCATTTCCACTGAGTGGACATTCATAGCTCAGATTCACCATGACTGCCTCAGTTTATGGTTGACTGATAAAGCTGTTGGTATTGGGAATTCAAGTCTCAACTAGCCCTTGGATCAGATCAAGAGGCCTACCTGCTTCTCAACTCTCTTTAGAGTAGACAACGCTGCCTTCCAACCACATCTCCTTTAGCTTTCCCTGAATCTTATAATCTGCCTAGTGACATAATATGTGTGGTGTTACATATAGATAAACACAGATTGGCCTCATAAAAATAATGTTTAATACAATCAATAATAATAGACTTATAGTCATTCTTGTTGGGTCAAGGTACAATAAATGGTAGAGTGCTAGCTGGCAGAATCTGGAAGGTATCACCAATGACTCAAGAGCTGTCTATATGTACTTGGTTATTTTCATATATCTCTGTACTTAGATATGAGAAAATTTTTAATGAATGTGTGATTTAAATCGTCACCCTATGCATTACAAAGCCCAGGAGAAAAAAACTGGATCTTATAGTCGCTTGAATTTATAGATGATCAAGTCTGGAGTATGAGAAATCAGGCTTATTGACAGTATGATTGAGTTTGGTCTTAGATGCATGAGGTTTAAGGTACCTATAGATATATGGGGAGGTATAGCTGATATTGACTGCATTTATTAAAAAAAATAACAATAAAGAGCTGAACATCAAGAAAGAGTAAAAGTGAGAAAATGGTGTGTCAAAATAAACAAACAGTAAAACATTACCATGATCTACCTACTTCAACAATAATTTTGGCATTTTGTATTGTAAAACCCCAATAGTTTATATAAAATAGTTTAGTTTTTAGTAATTGCAGTGTTCAAAAGCATGGGGTGTTTTCATATAATATACTAGTGTGTGTGTCTGTGTGTAAGGCAGGCACTTAATTTTTAAGGAATAAAACCTATGGGGGATTCAAGGACCAAACACCTCAAAGGGCAGAATTTAACTGAATGGCAAATTGAATGTGGATTGAAACTGAAATGTTCCCCCATAGGCTCATGTGTTTGAGCCTATTTAGTGCCCAGTCGGGGGTGCTGTTTGGGGAGTTGTAGAACCATTGAGAAGTGGAGCTTTGCTAGAGGAAGCAGGTCACCAGAATGAGCTTTGAGTGTATATAACTCAGTTTGCTTCCTGCCAGCCCTCTGCTTTCTGTTGCAAAATGTGATAGGCACATCCGTGCCACTGTGGGGATGCCTATCACCTCATCTTTCTCTCTGCTATGGACTGCATTCCCCCAAAAACTCTGAGCCTAAATAATACCTGGTCAGAACAATAAGAAAAATATCTTATACTGTGACCAAACTTGACTAAACTACATGGAATATACATAGCTCGGGGACTTGACAGCCTTGCAGAGAAACTTCTGGGGCATGGAGAATCAAGATGGATCCACTTTGGAGTCATGGATGGCAACCAATGATTGGCAGCTAAACAAGGTGAAAACATCCAGAGTTGTTATCATTGGAATAATGTCTGAGACCACAGACAAACATGTCTCTCTTGCTTATTGGTAACTAGTATTATTAAACCAGGAAGCTCCCCTGTCTACACCTGCTGAACATTAGGATCTTAGTGTTGTTCTGTCAGCTTCTGACTTAGCATCGTGGTGAGCCGCTGGAGGATTGCTGCTACCTGGCCAGGTTGTCCCATTCTGTAGTAAATTTTTCAAGAAAGGCTTCAACAATATCCATATGGTCGTGGTAACTGCTGCTTCTCTGAAGGTCCTGTTCTCTCTGTGCACATAGCTTGTCAGCCTGCAGGCAAAGGTCTTGCCACTGGTCATTCAGATGGTTTATTTCCCTGTGTTCAGGAGACTCCTGGTTCTTTGTTAACGTGTTCACCTTCTCTATGACGGTGCTCACTGAGACCTGTTTGTCCTGCAGCTGCTTAACAAAGTCCTAAGGATGACAATGCAAAACAGACTGAAATACAGATATAATACCTTTACATATAGTAAAAAAAAAAATCAGAAAAATTTAAAATCACCATTTTTTCTGCTGAACCTTAGTTCCCAACTGTGGAAGAATACAGTAACTTTGATACTTCCTTGCTGTGTATTATTTTCAGAAGTACAAATATAAATCTAAAAGTGTGTTTCCTTGAAGTAAAGGCTTTGTTTTCTCAAGATATATTGTATGAAAAAAAATGTTTAAACCAGGAGGTGGTGGTGGTGGCACACACCTTTAGTCCCAGCACCTAAAGGCAGAGGGAGGCAGATTTCTGTGAGTTCCATTCCAGCCTGGTCTGGAGAATGAGTTCCAGGACAGCTAGGGCTACACAGAGAAACCCTGCTTCAAAAACACACAAACAGACAAAAACAACAAAGAACAAATAAAAACAAAAAAAAACACTTTAAAATTTAAAAAAATTTAAAGAATTTATGCTTTTTATGGAAAAAGATAAATTTAATTCAGGATCCCTCTATTCTTTTTATTTTGTAGTTACAAATAGCATTCAGTAGAAAATACAATTATCTCATCATCAAAGACAGTCTTAAGGTTTATTTAAAATAGGACCCTCTCTTTCCAATCAAGTTAATATTATGATAATAATTCTTGAGTATACATAATGTATACATTATAAATTATATCTCTGCTATATTTAAATTAATTGCATATTAAAGCTACATTTAATAAATGGGCTTACATCCCTACAGCTGTAGCTATATGGCAGCAAAAGTCTGAACAATGAGGCCCTGTTTTTGTCAAAGAGCAGTCCCCTGAGTCTATAAGCTAAAGGTTTGCTTGCAAACAGTGAGTGTTTCATATGAAAATGGCCATGTAGGACTCTGAGAATATACATGAAATACTATAGCTTTACTTACTGAGACAGGGTCTTGTTACATTGTCTGTGCTAGTCTTGACCTCCTGGGCTCAAGCAGTTTTCCTTCCCTAGCCTGCAAGTATGGACAACTACAAGTGTGTGTCACTGCGTGCAACCTGTGGTTGTTTGCTGCTCATACTTAGTCCTTAGGTGGCTATCCTAGTGTCTGAGGACTCACAAACACCCGGGTATACTGAAATGAATGTACTGAGTGCGTTGCATCTTTTGCTATTTTTGGCCTCCTTCATATACCTCGGGGAGACGTTAGTTCCCACCTTCACTTGAGAGACCATGTTCTGAGCAATATTGAGCTCCAGCTCCGAGTGTCTCCTCTTCATGTTCTGCAGCTGTTGGTCAGCATCCTGCAGGTAAATCCAGAGCTCGGCCTTCAGGTGCTTGATCTCTTCCCAGCCCTGCGTCAAGTTCTGTGCTTGGACCAGTCTTTGTTCAATCTGGAGAAAACACGGTTAAATGTTATGTTATCAGTTTTCCAGAGACACCTCTCTGTTCCCTGACTCTGAGGTGTGGGCTGTCAGGAGGTCCGTGGACAGAGCCCAACACTGCTCACACTCAGGGAGAGAGCCCAACACTGCTCACACTCAGCAAGTCTGAATAGTACTTCTTAGGGTTAAGAAAAGCAGATTTCCTTCAGGCTCAAGAGTTTCTAAATAATTAACACATCTAAGAGTTCTCCCATGTGATTTTAATCAGTGATGTGAAGATTCAAGACATTTTAACAGTGTATGAGATCAAAAGCTGCCCCCAAGAGCTTTGCCCATAGGGCTGAGAAGTACATACATTATTTGACTGGTAAATTGGGCTTGGAGCAATTAAGAAAGGTCTACATCTCTAATGCATTTGTCTTTTCATCTCATAAAATTCAGAGGGTTTGATGTGGTTTTTGTTTTTGTTTTTGAAACAGGTTTTTGTTTTTGAAACAGCTCAGGATGGCCTGAAAGTCCTGACAAGCCTCCTGCTTCAACATCTCAGTTGTGGGATCACAGACTCACCACCCTGCTCCACACTGCCCTATTAATGTTTTAGATTGTCTTTCAATCTGCTTTGCTGGCTTTTGGAAGTGCATAATTTGCTTCATTATGTCTACTAAAGATACTTAGATTATATCACTTTTTATAGAAGGGTTTAAGTGCTAGCCCATGGCAGTCCTGATACAGAGCAGCTAGAGCAAGCGGATCTCCAGACTGAGAATTACTTAAAGGAAAAATGAACAACAAAAAAGGTCTGAGAGAATATGAAAACAGCAAGAGACTGATAATTAGGGTGGAGGAAGGTACAAATGGCAGGGGAATGAATAGATTGAACAATTCAGCTATGATTCCACTACGTTAGTCTCCACTTTCATTTCTGTGATGGCTAAAATTCATATTTAATTCATTATTGTGGAGCTAAGGAGATTATAGCAAGAATACCCCAAGAAGCATTTTCTTTAAACCCCACAGATGTGAAGAAGAGAGTATAAGAAAAAACAGACAATTAGCTGTGATCATGATTTTTTTTTACCAGCTGCTCTGTTTGCTGAATGTCTTTTGCAGTGTTTTTCACTGAGGAATTTGACAAGTCACACATGGAGCAGAGGAGATCCAAGTAGGTCCTTGCCTGCTCTTGCAAAGCTCTGAAGTGTTTGACCTGAAAGAGAAAAAACCATTTAATTGTCAGAGTCACTTAGAGCAGCAGACTGTGTGGTTGGTAGCATTTTATTGATATTTCAGAAATCATCTTGTTTTGCCAGTGTTTTCACCACTGTCCTGAAATATATTTGTGACTCATGGGAGAGAATTCCAAACACACTGGTGGAGCTGTTTGTCCACCATCTGGTTCGCATTATAATTAGAGCTGTCTGCGGGGTCTGGGAAAGGGGGAAAACCCAAGGCTTGTCTCCAGTCTTTCCGGATTTTCTCACAGCATTTGCATTTCTTTTTTATATCAGGAAAAGAAGTCACAGCCTACTCTTCTCTGCTCATTCAAATGCTGGGGTACAACATGGAGACTAGATCACAGTCAGAGGGAGCTGGGAAGCTTCACTGGAATGATATGTCTGGGGTTCCTTCCTCTGAGAGAAGTTCATCACCTGCTCTTCCCTTTATCAAACCCCAAGAGGGGCTTATTCATTGATACTTCTTTTTCATTTCTTCTTAGAAACACAGAAACGTGGGTCTCTTTACAGATGCCTATCATTGTGCCCACAGTGGAATTTTATTCTGCTCCAAGGAAAAATGAAAGCATGGTCTGTGAAGGTGAATGGATGGAACTGGAATCTACCATGTTAAATGAAATAAGCCAAACATCCTAGTGTTCTGGTTTCTGCCTCTAGTCAACAGTCTCCAAGTTCCAAGCCACTGACATCTGAGGCAAATAGCTCTTTGAGAGGAGGCCTGTCCTGTACACTGTGGATGTACAGTAGCATCCTTAGACTGTACCTTCTCAGAACCAACAGCATCTCAACTACTATTAATCATGGCATCTGACTATGTGCTTAATCGAAACTAAATGACCCTGGATTGGGAGTAATATGATGTCACCCAAGTCTAGACCACTGCTCCAGTCTCATCAGATTTTAAAAAGTAAAGTGTTTGCTGCCTCAAATCTTCCTTTGTTAGACAGATTATGACAACCACCTGGGCCCGGGTGCTACTTTTAACACGAACAGTCTGTGGAGGACACAGACAGTGACGGAGAGCCCAAAGGACCTGTTGGCTTCTCATGTGGATATAATAAATACAGATCTATTTCTTAGCAAGTGAGAAGCAGAGCCTTGGATATTCAATGTACAAAGTGCCTGGTCTTTCACTTCCGACTAGTCTTACTGATCAGTAACAATGTGAACAGCATCACCCTGCGTCCGTGACCCAGGCCACAACCCATGTCCCAGGCAGAATGAGTGTTTAGAAATGACAAGAGAATAGCTGTCAAGATTTGAGTTTCAAAGATACACATCATTTAAAGGATGATTTATTTTGTGGTTAATAAAGCGACCTTAATTCTAACCAGTAGAAACAGTTGTAAAGGATTACTGCTAGCATTAACGACCAAGGCAAATTTGGCATAGTTTTTCTCATCTCCCCACTTTCTATTCCATGCCTTATAAAAACATGTAACTCTGAATGGGATCAAGCCGTTGTGTCAGTCTCTTGTGGTCACACGGAGTGTTGCTGGTATGTGTTTATTGAGGTGCTTACTACAGGAGAAGTAGTGGAGAGTCAAAATGCAACTTGGGGCGACAGTGCAGGTGCAGTCAAAGCCTGATTACTCAGTGGTGGGGTACTCCAGCCATATGTTTGTACTAGTCAACTGTGAGAGACATGACAGTTTGGCATGAAGACAGTATCTAGCAAGGAAAACATTAACTAGTTGGAACAAGGCAAAGAAAGAAGGACAGAAAGAAAATTTGACAAAACAAAAGTTCCTCGTCTTCAGTGTCTCAGACACAGATGGCCCACAGACTAATTCTCTTCTGTGGCTACTTTGAAGTGGTTGGCAGGCATATGGAAAGGCTGTGGGAGGGCAGTGGGGCCCAGAACTACATACTCAGAAACTCAAGCTAGATTAGTGTGTGCCTCCCGGTTGGTGTAGTGAATCCTGCCCTGTTCTGGCAGAAGGCCATTGTGAGAAACACTTTTTGGGTGGGAACAAAGGAAAAAAATTAAGCTTTGTTTTGGAATGCTTGAAATAGAATACACAAATAATAATGGTCCACACAGAAAAGGAATGAGTCAAGGAAGCTCACAGTGGAAAGAAAATGTGGTCAATGGACACGATGCAGATCTAATAATCTGCCCTGAAGCAGAATGATGGAAACGAAGACCACCGTGTTAAGCAAAACAAGCCAGACTAAGGGGGACAAGCACCGTGGTTTTTCTCATACATGGAATTTAGAGAGTGGAAAAAAGGACTTTAGAGTAAATGTGGACTATTGGGGACACAGATGGAGGCAGGGGAGGGATAAGAGAGGGCAGAGAAGGCGTGACCAAAGACTTTGCAAGAATGCCATAAGGAAGCTCGCTGTTTCATATAATCTAATGCATAATACAAATTGTAAATTGAAAAATCAGAATCTAAGTAGCCTTTAATTATTTTTTCTTGACTTAAAAAATAGGCATATTTTTTCTGATATGGTGCTTCCCCAAGTATGATATATTCACTGATGTGAACTTTTCCATGACTTAAATAATGTAAATCCCTGAAGCCAGTTCACACAGGAATTGGAATAAATGGGTGCGTTCTCTATGAGGATTGATCTCCAAGGTAAGGAAATTGAAATTTTTACCTGATACCATTAATTCATCTGGCAGTAATAACATAAATTCCTCAATGATATTTTCCCACAAGATTTGCCCTTCATGTTAATCTGCTTAGCAAAGGTTTTTAAAAACATTTCATCTCCTAATGAAGTTTCTGTAGCATGATTATACGTCTGTAGATATCATATTAATATGCAATAGAGTCCTTTCCTGTGACAACAGTTAACATTCCCTTCATCATCCATTCAGCAATCACTTCCTAAGCACCTCGTTTGTGGAAAAAGAAAAGCAACAGTGAGGGAAGTCAGCATTGCTTTTCTGTTTACAGCTCACATTCCTTTGGGAGATGGCATTTGAATTTCGGCAGAGTTCAGAAGTATGCACAGCTGGTCCTCTAGCTCAGTCCACTGAGTGCAATGAAGAAAACCAAGATTTTGTCTGTCGTGAGTATGCACAGACATATTTCCTCACCATAGTTGCCTACACAACTTCTTCCTAGCAGCTGTTTTTGCAGGATTATATTGCATTGAAGTGTTCAGAGTAACCTATGGAGGGTGTAAAGAAGCTGGGTGGACATGGGTAAGTTCATTGCTGATACTGCACACACCATTTCCAACAAGGGACTGAACACCTGCATATTGTGGTGTCCACAGGGTCACTGAAACCAACTCATCAGGCATGTTGAGTAACAGTTGTACCTATCAGCATCGTTTCACATAGGAGAGAACTCAAGCTCAGAGAAATTAAGTGGCGGAGCCAGTAACCACCTTATGGTAAAGTTTTAAGCCCTAACCCCTAAACCTTAAGCCCTAACCCTAATCCCTAACCCTAACCCTAAGAACCATATTCTCTATTCCACGGGTCGACATGCCTGTTTTAGAAGACAGACTATGAGGTCAGGCCTCGTTTATACTTTGCTATTCCTAGAAGCCAGTACAGTTTCGAATGAATGAATGACTCATAAGAATAACAAGCTTCCCAGATTGCACTACCTGCTTAACAGCTTCTGCCCTGCTGAGAGGTGGCTGTGGGCTGGGCTTCAGGTCTGGCTGGACTGCAGAGATCCACGCCTGGCACTGCTGCAGGGTGTCTTGACGACTCACGTGCTTCTGAAGCTCATATTCCAAACTGCGGTATACCTGAGACAGAACGGTGCAGAGGTATTAGAGTTGACGCTCACTCTACAAGCATCACTATAATTGAATAAGCAGGAGGAGCAGTCCATTAAATCCTCCGGACTCCCTAGCACCAGGTACAGATCTAACATGAGTGAATGTGTTCCAAAATGATACAAAATACAAGGCCACAGCCCACTTTATAATTCCCCGATCTATCCACACATAACAAGGCCACATGTAACAGGCCCATTGTTCATATAAGGGATAAAATGTGTTAGAGTACATGAAGTCATTGAAATAAAGGAGAACATAAGCCAGAGGTTCCCGAAGCTTCTCTCTGTATTATAAATACTGGAGTTTTTGTTTAAACTAAGAGCTAAAAACAAAACAAAACAGAACAAAAAAAGAATCTTTAAAAGACAACCAAACTTCTCTAACTCTGATGCTTTTGCTAGATATAAATAAGAGCATATGGGGAAGTGGAGGAGTGTGACACACACATTCCACCATGAAAGCTCTATTTAAGAACAAATCCAGGGACTGGAGAAAAGGCTTGGTGGTTGAGAGCACTTGCTCTCCCCAAGGCCCTAGGTTTGGTCCCCAGCACCACATGACTGCTCACAGGCATTTGTACTGCCAATCCTAAGGTACGGTGAACATTCATAGTGTATTATACATTGGGGCAAAATGCTCATACATATAAAATAAGTAAGTCTAAAAATTTTTAAAGAACCATAGCTGGGAGTCATTCATACTTTTTTTTTCTGATATGACTATTCAATTAATTCGTTTTCCATCATTTGATCAACTTGGTTACCTTGGTCTATAAAATGAGCTCAAGGCTGGTAACGTAACTTAGTATGTCCTCATTTCAAAAGAAAAAAAAATGTGTTATCAAGGTGAATTTTTTCAAATCTAAGGGAATCAACTTTATCATCTACAATTTATATTTTTCTCTCAATATAAAGAGATAAGTCTGTCCTCCAAATGTGTTCCATGGAGCCCTCCTGGCTAGCCTAATATAATTTTTTAAAAACAGTCAAAAATATTTGGTGTCATTTAAAAATTCTACAATAACTGGGTGTGGTGGCACACACTTTGAATTCCAGCACCCTGAAGGGAAAGATAGGCAGATCCCTGAAAGTTAGAGGGTAGCCCTATCTCCATAGTGAGTTCTATGTCAGTTAGGGTGACATAGCAAGACCCTGTCTCAACCACAATAACATAAACAAACAAATGAACAACCCCCCCACCATAACAACAAAACAACCAAAAATAAAACAACATAAACTGAAGCCTACAACAATAGAAATCAACTTGCTTACAATAATAGTTTTCATTAAAAGAACAATTCTTATTTATTATAGATTTATTTCTGACACTGAAAATGTGGAAATACACTCATTAAAATATAATTCAAAACTGACATGGACTTACTCTATGTTTTCAGTTTTTATACAAATGCCCAAAAATATTGAGTTAGAGTAGAAAACCAGGCCTTACTGTGTCAAAAATTAATGATGGTGAGAATGAAAATGTATTTATTTTAGTGCTATAGAATAAATGTTAAACTATGGGGGAGTTTTGATGATGTATAGAAAAATAAATAAAAACTGCCAATATAACTTTACTTTTGTTTGCTTTGAGACAATATCTCACTTTGTAGCCTAGGCTGGCCTTAAACTCATGGTAACTATCCTGCCTAAGCCTTCCAAGTGTAGTAATTATAGGAATCATGTCACTGAGGCTGACTTGGAACTTGCAATGTAATGAAGTATGGGGTTATTATGACCTTCACACCCTGTGGCATCTATTTCTATAGTGCTCTTGGTTTCTATGAACTGAGGATCAAACCCTGGGCTTTGTGCACACTAGATGGACACTCAACCAAGCGAGCCACATTCCCAGCCAAATAGGCTTTCATAATTAATTCTTTGTTAAAAGGATTGGATGGAACTGAATGTCTGAATTTCCAAGCTTCCTCACATGGAGCACATGATCCCTGACATGTGTGTTTAGAAGCTGGGAACTCTGTCTTCTTACTTTCTGTCTGCTGAAACACCAAAGCCCCTCTAAAGATTTAGGCATCAACCCTATTTTTGCAAACCTAGCCTTCCTCTTCAGTCCATCACTGAGTGGAACCCTCCAGAGCACTCACCCTTTGGGCTGTGCTGCAGATGGCTGAGTAGCTGTCCTTTGTGCCCTGTAGGTGAGCTTGCACACTCTGTTTCTGCTTTGCTTGCAGGTGGTCTGGACACTGGCTGATCAAAGTGTCACCTTTGGTTTTGAGGTCGTTGAGGCGATCTTCAAACCCTGCTATTTCTTCCATCATCGCCTGCAAAAAATGACGAAGAGAGCTCCCAGGATTCCATTTCTAGCTTGAAACTACCTCTTTACTAAGCATCAAGTTCAAGATCCCATTTTACTGTCTAACAAAACTTTTTAACAGAGTTTTGTCATTCATCTTGGTCATGCATTAGGTAAAAAAGAAAATGAGTATTTCTGGGAGCCACCAATGGGAAGAGCAAATGAGGTCTGCATTAGTCAGTGACAGTGAAGCGACTTTAAGATTAGAGTATGTCACAGATGGTCTCATAGAGGCATTGTTAAACAGCCAGGGTAAAAGATGTTCATCTGTGTGTCATATCTGTATGTTATAACCTAGGCATGGTTTTTACCTCAGATGATATAATGACTATTTAATTTACTTACTCTTCTGTAATAAAATAATACATAATTTATACCCAATAACATTTATGTGAACAGAAATAACTATCATGCTGACAGTTAATTGCCCACTGTAGTCTGGAAATTATATATAAGCTCTAATAGTATGGGTTGCCACTGTCATGCAGATGAGGGACTAAAGCTCAGGTAGGTCCCATCCAGGAAACCTAGGAGTAAAGCATGTGTCCTTCTGGACTTCGGCTCCCACCGCTCTTCTTGCATGTGTTGTCCAGTGAGAATGCTCAGAGATCTCTCAGGGAGTAAGAAGCAAGCTTATCAAACCAGGCTTGAATCATTATAGGTCACACAATGCTAATGACAAGTGACACATTCCAACACAAGGGGGCCTGGGTGGATGCAGCTCTACATAATGGAATCATGGTTGGGCTCTCAGCAATGCTGCCTTTTCCTTTTGTCCAGTGCGGATGGGTGAGTGGATATTAGCCTCAATTGGAAACCACTTTTGTCTTCAGCTTGAAACTGACATATTATATCCTAGGCTGAAGAGAGGGAGAGGGACAGGGAGAGAGGGAGAGGGAGAGGGAGAGGGAGAGGGAGAGGGAGAGGGAGAGGGATGGGGGTGGATCTGGGTGT